GACCAGTTGTAGGAGAAGGACATGAGGGTTTTTTTCCCTCACATATCTAGCTGAGACAGAGTGTTCCTTCCCTCCTTGGTCTGTTCTCAACCAGGCAGGGAGAGGAGGCTGCCCGGGGGGTCTGGGCACGCAGGAGCCACAGTCTGTGTGGGGATTGCTTGGGCAGAAGGCTGCTGTGCTGGATTAAAGGCTGGTGAACATATTGTTGCTGGGTGAAAGCATAACCAGGATCAGACAGTCTGTTTCTCCAGATGGATGCTCCCAGCCATGGGAGGCAGGAAAGCTTCTCTGGACCTTGCAGAGGAGGGTGGGGAAGCTCCCCAGCCAGCTCCCTGTGAGCATGTGTGGCTGGGACCATGCTGAGACCGAGATAGGGGTGGCCTCACTCAAGCTCTCTTACATTCTGTCTTTCTTCCTCAGGATCCCCATTATTTTAGTGGGAAACAAGTCTGACCTGCAGGTGGGGAGCTCCATGGATGTCATCCTGCCCATCATGAACCAGTTCTCAGAGATTGAGACCTGTGTGGAGGTGAGAAAACAGGAGGGTTTCTGCAAAGCCTCTCTGAGGGGTAGGAGCACTTGACTGGCATGAGTCAGGGAGCCTTGGTGCTTGTGGAGATCTGCTGTGCCAGCATTTGATCTGCAGAAGTACCCCTGGTGGGTCCTGAGGTCCTGGGCTTCAGGCTTTCTGGCCTTTGCCTTCCTTCCAGGGAGGGGGTTTCAGTGTCTGCCCACTCCAGCCCTCTGGCTGTAACTGATGTTGGAACTGCATTGTGCCAGGACAGCTTTTGGGGTGACCTGGTGGAAAGCAGCTCTGCAGAGAAGGACCTGGGAGAGCTGGTGAACAGCAGGTTAAGCATCAGCCAGCAATGTGCCCTCATGGCCAGGAAGGCCAATGGTCTCCTGGATGCATTCAGAAGAGTGTGACCAGCAGGTCAAGGGAAGTTCTCCTCCCTCTCTGTGTGCCCCAGTGAGGCCACATCTGGAGTCTGTGTCCAGTTCTGGGTTCTCCAGTTCAAGAAAGACCAGGATCTACTGGAGAGAGTCCAGCAGAGGCTACAAAGATGATGAGGGGCTGGAGCATCTCTCTGCTGAGGAGAGGCTGAGAGAGCTGGGACTGTTCAGCCTGGAGAAGAGCAGCCTGAGAGGGGATCTCATCACTGCTGATCAATATCTAAAGGGCAGGTGTCAAGAGGATGGGGCCAGACTCTTTCCAGTGGTGCCCAGTGACAGGACAAGGGGCAATGGGCACAAACTGGGACATTGAAAGTTCCAGACAAACTTAGGGAAAAACTTCTTTCCTGTGAGGGTGCCGGAGCCCTGGGACAGGCTGCCCAGAGAGGGTGTGGAGTCTCCATCTCTGGAGATGTTCAAACCCACCTGGACACCATCCTGTGCAACCTGCTCTGGATGTCCCTGCTGGCTCTGGGGCTGTGGAATGGGCACAGCAACGCCAGAGCACAAGCAGGAGGTTTCCCTTTTAATGGACAGACATTGCCCTGTGCTTCAATGCACAACTTGTCTGGCTCGGGGAGCTCACATCACCCTCCTTCTGCCCCTTGTCACCAGCCCATTGCCTGTCCCCACTCACAGGGCTTTCTCTTCCTTTGAATCCTTAGTGCTCTGCCAAGAACCTCAAGAACATCTCTGAGCTCTTCTACTACGCCCAGAAAGCTGTGCTGCACCCCACCGCCCCGCTCTATGACCCAGAGGAGAAGCAGGTAGGAAGTTGTCCTGGTTTTTAGCTGGGACAGAGTACTAACCAAGTACTAGCCAAGTGAAACCAGCACAGAAGCACTGCTCCCAACCCCTGGAGAGGTCCCCTTCCCATCACAGCGCTCTGGTCTGGTGCTCTGCTTTTACCCCTCAGAAGGAGGGTGGAGAGTTTGGGCTGACATAGTCAGAAGAAGAGGGAAGCACCCATCTCCTGTGCTCAGCACAGCCAGCTGAGCGTGTCCAGAGCAGAGAGACTTGCAAGGACCAGGGCCATGTTTGGGCAGAAGCCCTCGTGCTCCAGACCATGGTGGAAAGGGTCCAGGAGAAACCTTCCCCGTGGGCTGTCCTGCTTGACTCCCAGCTCCAAGGTGGCTGTAGGACTGGTCTAGCTGGATTGTGCTCCCAGGCAGTGCAGGATGGGAACCCCTCTGTGTGTGGGGTTTCAGGAAGCAGGCCCAAGCTGGAGGAGGTGTCCTGCTTTTATCACCATGGTTGGTCTCTTGCAGCTGAAACCTGCATGTGCACGAGCACTGACCCGGATTTTCAACCTCTCGGACCAGGATAACAACCAGATCCTTAGTGATGATGAACTCAACTACTTCCAGGTAATGGTGGCTGCAGAGATGAGATATCCTCCAGTCCCTTGTGGAAAGCCCCTGGGGTCCCCTTTGAGAAAGGCTGTCCCTCTCCTGACGCAGCCGTCCTGTTTGTGTTCAGTCCTTCTGCTCGTGCTCAGCTAAAGCACCGTGGGGTGGATCTTCAAGCACATGGGGATCCACACATCTTCCATCTTCACTAAGTTTGGGTCAAGTTTGCTCTGCTCTGGGAAGAGCTGTGGAGATGTTGAGAGTCATATTTTATTGGGATGCTGAGGAGCAGGGGTTTGGTCGGGGTCTAAGGCAGTAATTGCTGAGCTGGGTGGATTTTCTCTCCTAGAAACACCATCTCCTTGCCAGGGTAGAGGGATGCTGTGAGATGGAGGGTTGTGCTCTCTGTGTCCTTTGCTGATGGTCACCTTCTTTTCTCTTGGGAAGTAGAAGTCCTGCTTTGGAAACCCACTGGCTCCCCAAGCCCTGGAGGACGTGAAGATGGTTGTATGGAAGAACACCACAGATGGGGTGCAGGACAACGGCCTGACATTGAACGGTAACAGCACAAGGCTCCATGCCCCTTCCCAGCAAGGGATGGAGGAACCCACCTCCTTCTGCTCATTGCCCTGTCCTCGGGCTGAGCCTCCTGGCTCTCATTCCAAGCCTAATTAGTCCTGGCTCAAGCCTGAGCCTGCTGTGGCTACCAGAGCTGGCTGTTTGTCCAGGAAAAGCGTGGTCCCGAGGAGTGGATCCCTGAGGCTGAGTGCTCAGTTAACCCCACTGTGTCCCTGAGCTGCCTGATTTCTCCCTCAGGCTTCCTCTTCCTCAACACACTCTTCATCCAGAGGGGCCGACACGAGACCACCTGGACCATCCTTCGCCGCTTCGGGTACGACGACGAGCTGGAGCTGACGGATGACTATCTCTACCCACAGTGCGTATCCTGCCGTGGAGTGGGGCGGGCAGGGTGGGACATCCCGCTGGTGCACAGCACCCTCGGGCTCCCCAGCACCATTGCTGGTTCTTCTGGGCACCCTGGGCTCTACAGAGTTCCTCAGCTGAGGCTGAATCCACACCCTTAGCTCATGGTCAGGTTCATGCTCCTCACCTTCCCCTGCCAGCAGGAGCTGACACACGGGGTTGTCAGCGAATACAGTGGGGCTTGAAGCATCTGACTGTGCTGCTGCTGGCTGGGATGCAGGCAGGCAAGGAGGGG